AGCGCGCCGACCAGATCCTGGTTCCCCGGGCACTGCAGAAGTTCAGCGAAGCTTGCAGAGGAAAAGCAGCCGCCTGTGAAAAATTATTTCTTGTGTCAATAGTAGGAAATTATTACACAAGGGAAAGACTGGCAAAATAGAGGGGCTTAGATCCGCCAGCAGCTCTGTTAGTTCCCTTAAATCCTGTCCATTATTTCAGGATTTTCAGGAGAAGGGCTCTTCTTTGGGGTGTCAATTGCTTCTCGATGTTGTTTATTTTATGGCAAAACCTCCCGCGCAGAGGCCTGGCCCTGCAGACCTTGCTGACAGCTGCTGGTTCTGAGAAACTGCCTGGGCTTTGCCACCCACCCAAAGGAAGACTGGTCAATAACGGGCAGGATTTGATTCCCATAGGTTAGGACAAAGCTCCCAGCTGTGCATTTGCCATGCCTGGTTCTCTCCTGCTGGGAGGCTTGCCTCAGAGGTGGATTGTTGTTTCCCAGTTGTTCTTCCAACCCTACAGCAAGCCTCAGTAGACGGCAGGCTGCTGCCTACCCCGATATTAAATACTGCCGGTCATCACTGGTCATCAGTAGGCTCTTGCGTACAAGTACAGCTTTTTCATTGTACACGAAGGGTTGTCAGGCTGGACCGAATCAGAGCAGCCTGTAACCTGGGGATTTGTCTGAGCATCAGGTTAACGAGCGCAAGGTGTGGGCTCCCTGCCTCTGGGGCCCATCAGCGCACTATGGGTAGACAAGACGTCTGTCTGTCGGAAGCCACAGACCAGCCCCTGATCTGTTCTGCACTGTGGCAAAGGTCCCGGTGCCCACGGGAATGCTTGGCTGGCACGGGGAGAGCCGTAGGACGAGGACCGTGAAGAGAGGCCCCTCCCCCTCCTGGCAAACCCTCCCGCTCCGGCTCTGCTGCGTCTCCGGCCCCACCTGCAGGCTCGGAGCCCTGAAGGGGTCGCACCTGAGCCTCATGTCCTCTGTGGCCCCTCAGTTGCCTGAAAGGAGGAATTCAAATCTGAAGCTGCTCAGCGGGGCAAGGACAGCCCGGCCAGCCTGTTCTTTCACAGCCCGGCCAGCCTGACAGCGTCGGCCCTATTCTCTGACACTCTGGGATCACTGCTCCTTTCCAGCACCTTCCGTGGTCTCTCTTGGCCCTTTGTCTGCCTCCATCCTCTTCCCGCTATCTAGAATGCCCTTGATAGGGCGAGGTCCTGCTGCTCTCCTTTCCCCCCCTCAGTGCCCTCGGAGAATTTTCAGAGTCCTGCCTCCCCCCGCCCCCTCCCAGCTCCAGTGCGTGCTGTCCCTGTCCCTCAACTGATGTCTGCGATGACACTTAACATTTGAGCGGTCAGTTATTTCCCTGAATATCAGCCATGCCCCCCAGCCCGTGGGAATCTCCAGGAAAAGTACCTTTTTATACTTACCTTTGTATAAAACCAGTTCTCAGTACTCACTGTGATTAATAAGTGCATGGACTTCAGCAAGAGAATTCCAATATGTAAAGGCCAATGAGAGGAACAAATCCTTTAGTTTCTCTCCTAAACGTTTCCCCACATCTGTTATATTTAACTCTTTGGCGTTAGTTTAGGATCCTGTGGAGAAACTGGTATTCGTGTATGGGAAAACTTGCTGTTGTTTAATCTGTTTACTGTGTTTCCCCGAAAATAAGACCTACTCATAAAATAAGCCCTAGCAGGATTTCTAAGCATTTTGTGCACTATAAGCCCTACCCTGAAAATAAGACCTAGCGATGGGCGTGGCTACGCAGCGCATCTGCACAACCCGTCCATTTCGTCTGGGAACGGTAAAGAAGACGAGCAGCCCTTCTCATCTGCCCCATGAGAGCTCTGTTGCTCGACATGAGAGACTGGGGCCAGTGGTTCTAAAGGAAATAGAGTCACAAGAAATTCAGGATGGAATTTGGGGTTTGAAGAGTTATGATGATGTTCCAGAAGAAGACAACTTAACTATATTTGAATCAATGTAGATTGTTGTACCGTACTTAAAAAAAAAAAACAACACATCCCCTGAAAGTAAGCCCTAGAGTGTCTTCTTGAGGAAACATATAAGACCCTGTCTTATTTTGGGGGAAACATGGTAAAAATGGATTATTTTCAGTATATGTTGGTTCTATAGAAATTGTTCGATAAAGTCAAGTTTTCCAAATAAAAATCCCAATAGATTTTCCCCCACAGAACTTAACAAGCTGATGCTAAATAAAGATAGCAAGTCCCAGAACAGTAAGAATTATGAGTTTAAAGAGAATTATAATGTGCCTTTACTTTGATGCAAGCTCATTACACCTGGCCTGGAGGATGTGTACACTCAACAGGTACCTTGGGAACCTCCAGGGACACAGCTATGGTGGGAAGGGTGAAGATGGTATTTTATATGATCTCTACTGTGTGAATTGTGAATTTTTCCTTATATATTATTAAGAAAATAAGGCAAGAACAAATGCTATGGATGCATGAAGGCTAAGACTAAACAAGACAATTATTAAGAAAAGAATTTCTGTCTAACTGGGCATCAACTTATTATAAGACTTTCGTAATTTTTATTTCTATGTCCACATTGGGCCAGGGATAAGCTAAAAGGCCAACTGGCAAAATAGGAGCGACCACAAGGACTGCTCACACAGTACTGGGTCCGAGCCAGGTGATTTTAGACAGTCTTCAAACAAATTCATTTAATCTTTACAACCACCCATGAAGTAGCACTTACAAGTCTCCATTTAATGCTTTAAGAAAACTAAAAAAGAAAGGTTAAGTTACTCAAAATGTCAACTTATGCATGAGAAATTGACATAAGAGACAAGTATTATGAAAAATCAGTGAGAAAATTACTATTTAATAATAAATGATCTATCTAAACAGAAAAAGGATAAAATTAGTTTTTTTATACTGTACCAAAAAAAAAATTTCCATTAGGATTAAAGACTAAAACTTTTTAAACTTCAGAAGAAAATGTAGAACATCTTTGTAGAATTGGGTCATGAAAGGCTTTCTTAAACAGGACATAAAAAGTTTGAGTCATAAAGGAGAAAAATGAATATTTTTCTGTATAATAGAAGACAAGACAGAAAAGACAAACCATGGACCAGATGAAAATACCGTTTATACACACAGTGATGTGCAGCACATATTGCTGACACAGAATTAGTATCCAGAACATATAGGATCTCTAGGAATCAATAAATAATAGACATAAACAACCTAATAGGAAAGGGGGAAAGGCTATTAATGGGCACATCTCGGATTTGGAACCAGAATAGCCAACAAACTTAACAAAAGAGGCTCAACCTCACTGGTAATGAGAAAAATGCCAATAAAAGGAATGAGACACACATCAGATTTCAAAAACTTAAAGCATCTAAATTTTTTGATAATGTAGAGAAAGACTAATTTACACATTGTTAGTGGTAGAATAAGTTGGTAAAACCACTCTTGAAAGCAACTTAGAAGTATCTAGGCCGGGCGCGGTGGCTCACGCCTGTAATCCTAGCACTCTGGGAGGCTGCGGCGGGCAGATTGCTCGAGGTCAGGAGTTCGAAACCAGCCTGAGCAAGAGCGAGACCCCGTCTCTACTATAAATAGAAAGAAATTAATTGGCCAACTAATATATATAGAAAAAATTAGCCATGCATGGTGGCGCATGCCTGTAGTCCCAGCTACTCAGGAGGCTGAGGCAGGAGGATCGCTTGAGCCCCGGAGTTTGAGGTTGCTGTGAGCTAGGCTGACGCCACGGCACTCTCTCTAGCCTGGGCAACAGAGTGAGACTCTGTCTTAAAAAAAAAAAAAAAAAAAAAAGAAGTATCTAATAGAGTTGAAATTATACGTAAACTATACCCAGCAATTCTACTTCCAGATATATTTGTTAGAGTATATCCGGCATGCATGAGTAAGAACAAATGCATAGATATATTTATTTGTAATAACAGAAAATGAAACAATTTAGTTTATAATTATTAATAAAAGAATACATAAATGCATAGTAATTTATTGACAAAATGGAATATTACAGAGTAATTAAATTAATGAGTTTTGATTCACCATGGGTCTAAAAAGCCTCCCTGTGCACGACAATTCACGTTACATATATAGCATGTTATTTTCTAGGTCAAATTGAAATCACAGGACAGTTTTGTTTGTTGATGCTGATGTCTGCATATGAAGGTGAAGTGTGAAAACATAGAATGAAAAGTTTCACATGAACTTGAGGCTACGGTTATTTGGACAGGGGAAAAGACATCGGGATGGTAGCGCAGATTGGGCTGTTTCGTACACTTTTATTTTAAAAAGTATTATCTTAAATACAGCTGAGTGTTGGCCTGTTAAACCACGAGCGTGTGTTATATTGTTCTACATTTAAAATATAATTGTCCTGTTTCTTAATTTTAAAAGACAGTGAAGGTGAGCTTCAAGAGGGAATGCTGCACTATTCACGCCAGGTCCTTACTTGGTTTTGTTGTATGTGTGCGCCAGTCTGATACTTCCTGCCTGTTTTTCCCTCTCTCGTTGCTGGTTTGGCCACACGAGAAGGGACAACAGACAGGGATGAAGTGGGAAAACAATTAGACTTAGGCTAAGCCCAAATGCGGGAGGCGTTGCCAGAGATCGCTTGCTTGGCACAGTCTTCTGACTTGGCCGGTACCTTTGGATTTGCAGGAGCCCCTGTGAAGATAGGGGTATCACCATCATCAGTTCTTACTTCAGTAGTGGATCATGTCATCAAAGTAGTTAGTGGTCGTCCTAGAAAACAGGGAGCAGGCCCCTGCAGGCTGGGGAGGTCGGCACAGACGCGGCTTGTTTCCGTGGGAAGAGAGAAGTGTCCAGTGCCCAAGCTGGTGTGGTCTGTGGAGGACCAGGCGTGGACTATAGGGGGCGCTCTCGCCCGTCCAGGGGCCCTCCCAAAGCAACCCTGGTACCCGGGATGCTCACCTGTGCCTCTCCGTTTCCCTCTGACCTTGAAGACCACCGTTTCCTTTCTCCGGGGCATCGTGGCGTGCCAGGACCTCACACACGGGCTGCTCCCTGGACCTAAAGCTTAGCAGCCACGGCAGGGAGAGGAGGACCAGGAACCGGGAAGGGAGGCCCTGCTGAGAGCGCCAGCACAGTTAGGGTTAGCGGGCACCCCTGAGCGAGTCATCGATTTCTTTTTGTAAAGAAATGGGAAGCAAGAGATACACGTGTTGGAACAGACAATGGCCCTCAACCATAGCTGAACCTACAGCCCTTTATTATGGTAAATTATTTTAATGTCTGTTTCTTAAATTCATAGATAATAAAACTTATGTATATACATCATTCAAAATGCTCAGTATATAGGAGAAATAGAGAAAATAACTTATAGTAAAGTTATATGTACTTTAGCATGTGAGCATTGAGCCCTACCTGCCAGGTGTGCTGCTGGTGGAGACAACGTCCGTGGCAAAGACTCAGAAGTTTCTTCCTACATATAAAGAGTAAAGCTGGCTTTAAAAGAAAAAAAGATCGGAAATTGTTTCATATAAGAAATGTGGGAAAAGGAAAGAGCAGGTAACACAGATGAACCTTGGAATAGTCTAGTAATAATAGATTTGATTTTCTTTGTAAATGAAAAGAAAAGGAGGGACATACTCTATTTGAAGTAAGAGCTACCTAGGGGAATTACAGACGGCCGGGATGCAGCAAGTGGGGAAGTGTGAGCTCCACCGCGAGTCAGGTCCTGATTTCAGGTGTGGTGTCAAACCACTCTCCTCCGCTAGGATGGGGAGTGAAGTCTCCTGGGATCCTACCACCTGGCCAGGTGCACGTCCAGTCTCCAGCGCTTCATAATGCCTCGGAGACCGTGTCCTGTGATACCCAGTGGAGAATGCAGCCCGGATCGGAAAAATAAACTGAAACGGCTTTAGGGAACCTACGTGAAGATCCAAGGGCGTAGCGTCAGAGAAAGACTAAAAAACAACATACCCCTCCCTCCAAAAAAACAATTCCAGTATGTAATTTTTACAATGGAAACATCTTATCATTGTGCAATAACTTTTCACATGTAGGAAATATTATAAAATGTTTTAAAACAACCTTTTTTATAGTCTCTGCCCTGAATCCAGCTAACGGTGCAGCTGGATTTGTTAGGGTGTACTCCCTAGACACAGTGTACGGAGTGAAGAAGCCAGCGTGCAGCTCCATGCTTAGCTTATCCTGAGACCCTGGACCCGTTATTTTTCATCCTGTAAATATCTTTCCATAGCATTATGTTCTGAAGTAGTAGTGATTGACAACTCTGTGGGCTTATTCCAGGGAGCCTGTTGGAATCTGGGAGGCAGGGGCACCCACAGCCTCTCACAGTGCAGGATGTCCAACCGTTGGCAGATGCGCAGCATCCTGGCCCCCTACCCTAAATGCCGGTGAGGTCCCGCACTCACTGTGACTACTGAAAAACACTCCTCATTGCAAAAATGCCTCCTAGGAGGTAGAACGTCCCCATCAAGACCCCGAAATAGACTGTAGGTCTAGTTCTTCGGTTATGCATCCTTTATCAAAACCCTGGCTGTAAAAAAAAAAAAAAGCATCCTCTCCAAGCTTAGGTATTTCTAACAGTGACCATTTTCTTCCTTCATTCTCTCAACTCTTTCTGTAATTTACCTATAAATGCATTTCGGACTTTGTCTTATATATCATCTTTCTATATTGTGACCTTCTATTTTAATTGGCTTTTTTCCAATCAGATACTAAGGGTGATGGAGGTAGAAGATGTTGGCACCTGCTTTGCTTGAATCCTTCAGAAATTCCGGCCCTGTGCTGAGAGTATGATAAATGCACTGAACAAAGGTTTAAAGATAGGATGTTTAAAGAACAAATTCTTTTTTTTTCTTACTTTATATTGTACCTCTCTCGAACTTCAGCACAATATGCACACACACACACACAAACACCATTGTTAAAGCATCATTAAACCCACATATTTCTTCCACCCTGAAGATGAGGTGAGATTTCAAAGATCAGAAAGTTTTGAAAGTCTGGTAGATTATGAGCAATACAAGAAGAAAATCAGCTGGCGGATCACCCCCCCCCCTCTGCAGCTCATTTCGTGATGAGGTTGTGGCTTGGTTAGACTTGCTAAAGCTGCGGTGAAGTGCTAAGTGAAGGAACTATAAAAATTAGAAGCCACTGTAGGATATAAATTAAGACTCTCTGGAGGCTAGAAGGATTTTGGGGTCTTTTGTTGTTGTTGTTATTGTTAAAATATCTAGCCAACTCCTGAAAAATAATGAGTGGTTGCCATAGCAACTGTGCTTTCCCATGACACATGGGAGAACATGAAAAGGGTTGGGATCAAAGAAAGCCACCTGGTTTTGACTTTAATTTTGGAGAAAGACATTCACCCTAAATGATCTATAAAACAAATTCTATTTTATTTTCCTTTCAGACTGATTGTAGATTTTTTTGAAAGGTGTTTTTCTTTTTTTAAAATTCAAAACCTGGAGGGGAATTCCAAAAGCAGTGAAACTAGGTTGTTTCGGTATAAAGGTACTTGGCCCGCTTTCCACGTCCCCATTTCCCTCTCTGTAAAACTGGTACTCACGCCGTTTTGAGGGTAGCTGCCCTTAGACTGGCAGCTAACACAGCTTCGCTGAGCGCCTGTTCCCCGTTTGTCAGGGATTTGTAAAAGGGACACATCATGTGGCCTTTGCGGTTCACCTTGGGGACCCTTGGAGAAAACATTCAATACAGAGCGAGTGAAGATTGGAGCTACCGAAGGCGGGAGCTTGGCTCGGAAAACTCCAGAAGCCTGAGCAGGGGCAGGGTGGAGCCGGCCTCCCACTCCAGTGCTGGGAGCGGGCGTGTCCCGCAGGGATAGGGCCATACGGGGTGGGGGAGGCGGGCCAGCTGGGCAGGTGGGAGTGTGAGTCAGAAATGTGGACAGGGAGGCGGGAAAGTGAGCTGGGACCGTGGTCAGGAGACGAGTGACCATGGAAGGCTTCTTTGAGAATCCAGGTCGGGATACCCTGCTCCCCTAGACAGGCTCCCGAACGCCCTGATTAATGCCCTAATGCCCTAATGCTCCTCCGATGCCCCGGCCCACCCCAGGCTGTCGGTGCCACCCCCTCTCTGCCCTACACAGTCACACAGTCACACAGTTGGTCTCTGGGAGTGACGAGACCTAGAGAATATGACAGGTGAGGAACACGGTGCATCCGTCAGGGTCCTGGGGAAGTAGAAGGGGCACCCAGAGTAGGGTAATCCAAGGAGAATTAGAAGGCACCAAATGCAAGTCGGGGGTTGTGGGTCAGGAAGCCACATGGGACGGCACAGGTGGGTGGGACAAGGGAAAGTCTGTCATCCGAGGACAGAAGTGTAGGGAGTGACATGGAGAAGGCACTAGGTATAGAGAAGGAACACACGGGCAAGTCTCGATGACCCATGGGAGGGGTGGGGAGTAACTGCCCTGACCCCACCGTCTGGTCTCCGGCCAGCGCACCCCCTGCACGATGGTCGGCTGCTGACCCCGGTCTCGCTCCCAGGCTCCTGCATCACCTAACTGAGTCCCAAGGTCCAGGCAAAGCTCACAGGGCACAGGCAGCCCTTCCCCCATTTCCTGCACAGCCTCTCAATACCATTGCTTGAGGAACACTGTGGAAATATCCATGCCGGTCGCCATGCATCAAGCTAACTGGCCGGGAGGCTGGACCCTGTCCCAGGAACAGGCTGGGGGGCTGCGCGGAACCCAGGGTCGACCATTCATTCCCTTCTCGGGGCTCTGCCGGGAAGATGCCTGGAGCTTGCGTGGCTGGTGAGAAAAGATGGGGTCTGCATTCTCCCCTTCTTCCTTTAGTTGAAACATCTGAATCTACATCTCTCAGGATGTCCTGTATTCACCTACTACTCCTAGACCTTGAGAATGTTGAGAACAAACAGTTCTCAGAATGTCGAGCTATGGCTTAGGGCATTGAAGGGAAGAGAGAAGAGAAGGGCAGGGCGGTTGTTGGAGGCTTGGACCATTTAGTGTTTCCCAGCCCTCGATCAGCTGTCGACTGTCCACACAGGCCGCTATGTCGAGGGGGGCCCCAAATCCCATCCAGTGAGGCCCCCAGCTGGTGATGGCGAGTGTGCCTGGCAGCAGTTGGAAGCATTTGTGACCCTTTTCCCTACATAGTGTGATCAGAGCACAAGGATCTAGACAGGGCTGAGCCTTTGTCTCACGCCTGAGACGGGCCCGCGTGGGGATCTCTCCCGTCCGTGTGCCTTGGGAAACCACGCGACTGACCCGCCTAAGAGAGTCATACTTCCGACAGCGGGCGTGCTTATTAATAGCGACACTAAAACAGAAGGCCTAAACTCCACTGTTCCTCGCAAAATAAAGGCGTGTGGCCACCCCCATCTCTGCCACCTGCACCGTTAGAAGCCAGAGGAGGAAGCGGTCACCGTGGCGTGGGCTGGGCTGGCCAGCGAAGGCTTCTAGGAAAGCTGAGCCGTGGTCACTTCAGCCGGGGGATGCGGCTGGACAGGAGGAAAACCAGGCCTCAGCAGGAGCAGGGTGATAGCCTCTCACGGCTTGACAGACACACACCCGCTGGATTGGCTGCTTAGAGACACCCCAGAACCTTCGGAAGCGGCGTACGATGCCAGGTGCTGGCTATAAAGGGAGCCTGTCTTTCTGTAGCCCTAGTTTGCTGTAGAAAGTGGCAGCTCGTGGTGTCAGCAAGTGAGGAGGTATGTTTCGTGTCCCCTGGCGATTTGGTGTACGTAAGGGAAAATGGATGTTTTCTGCTGAAGGCATTACTGACGGCTCTCTGAGGTCCCCTGTTCCCTGGGGACATCCCCCTGTGGCCTCATCTGAGAAATCAGCGTGAGTGAACGGAGACTCTCTGGGACCGCACGGTCCGCTGGGGGCACTTCCGCCCTCTCAGGAAGTCACTGTCCCCGTGGAAACAGCAGCACAGAGAACAACGGGCTTGGCCGTGGAGGGGAGGGTGCTCACTCTCCAGGGCTGGAGCCTGTCCTCCCACACAGTGACTCGGCCTTTGGCCCCGGCTGATCCTGATGGCTTCGTGGACAAAGAGATAAATGAATAGACCTAGTTCCGTGCATACTTCCTCCTGCCCGGAAGGTAGAACTCCCTGCGGAAGTCATTTTATGCCTCTCCCACAGTGATCTTCAGGGCAGTTTTATCATAGGCATAGTTTTTTTTTTGTTTTTTGTTTTTTTTTATAAATACATTCTTTGCATTTATTTGCACCTTTTTCTTTTTTTTTTTTTATTTCGGCATATTATGGGGGTACAGATTTTAAGGTTTCAATAAATGCCCTATCCTCCCTCCCCCCACGAGTCTGAGTTTCCAGCATGACCATCCCCCAGATGGTGCATATCTCACTACAGTAATAGGGTATTGGGGAGGGGGGAGGGGGGCGGGTATATACACAGGCATAGTTTTGATACTCTCCATACTTGCAGGTTTGTAGAGAAGAAAACCAAATCCCGGGAAGGCTGGGAAAGTGACCCAGTGTGGAACACTGAGTTCTAGGGGGGGCAGAAAAGTATGTGTTTCAGAGTAATACGCCCGGGGTTCAAATCCCAGTGACTCCCATGAGGAGCGGCAAGAAGTCACATCATTTCAAGAACATGATCATCGCAGGAGAACAACGCCCCAAGTTGCCTGAAACAACGTGAACTGCAGAAGGTGCCCGGCCCCCCGGGGGCCCCACTGGCTGCCAGTGCCATTCCCTGCGCGTGGCACTGCCTGCAACCCGGAGACCACGTACCGCACCGGCTCGCCTTGAAGGGACGAGCTAATGAGGCCTGCTGGTGCTTTGCTGCTGTCCTCCTTTCTGGAGGGTTGGCTCCTACAGACCCCAGAATACAGGGCACACGTCTATGCAGTATGCTGCCCTGCGTCTGTTGCTGAACTGACCGGTTTGGAAGCATCTAAGGGTTGCTGAGCTTCTGTGCATCTTTCCCCGTGTGCCGGGCTGCCGCCCTTACCCCACGTTTACTGCTTGTTCTAAGGAATAGGGAAGCCCTCCTTGGGGAAGAAATGGCCCAGCCGCCCAGGTAGGCAGGCTCTGAGCAAAGCACCCTGAGTGTCCTCCTTGCTTCTGTTTCTCTCTCCCCAGGCGCTGGGGAAGGGAGAGAGGAGCAGCCCGAGAGAGAGGCTGCAGGCAGGGACCCGCCAGAGGAGAACAACTTTCCACCTTCGCCCCTGGCTCCTACTCTCTGTTTCCGGGGCACCTGAGCCTCGCCCCACTTCCCTTCTCTTCCTTTCATTTTCAATACCTTCAGCCGCAGCCAAAATTCTTAGCACCACTTGTCTTCAACATTTCTGAGATCTGGGTCTCAGTGGATATAGGAACATCTCTAGGGATTTTTAGCTTCAGATGTTTTAAGTAAAGGAAGGAGGAGAGAATGGAGGCCTCATCTTTTCTCAGCAGCCCCGCAAGCCCCAGGCTTCTTTCCAGCAGAGCCCCGAGAAGGGGGTGGTCAACCCCGGGTTCCACGAGCCCTGCAGCTTGTTCGGGGCAGGGTCCGGTCTCCCGGCCAGCTAGCTTCGTCCACCACA